TTTGTCCTTTTGTTTAATTTCTGCCAATTGCATGAAAATTCATGCTTCTTGTCAAAAGTATTGGCAAGATGAACTTCTGTCCATAAGAGCTCTTGTAAAAAATTATTGGCAAAATGAACTGATTCACTCCATTAGTTAAGTATAAACAGTACTCAAAGTTCATATGGATAGTCAGTGATAACATTTGACAGCAACATCCATGGACAGATTACATAGACCGACTATATCAGTTCACACTCAATCAGATTACATCACAAAATTCTGTACATCAATATGGCATTCAGACAAATTCTGTATATCAGTTCACATTTTATCAGATTAGCTGCCGTGCTGTCCGCGACTAAGCTGCACACTGCTATGACTCCTGCTCGCCCAAGATACACCCTTGGACTGAATTATGTGTAAACTTTCATCCGACATACACTTGCTTGTATTCAGAAAAATTTGTCTTTACAAATTCTCAGATTACATCGTTGGAGCACCGTTCAGTCTAAATAAAGAGAATCAACAATGCTTTCACGTTGAGTGATAACACCTCACAAGATCAAAATTGCATTCAGAAATTTCATCTCTACATGACAAGCACGCACAACAAATCTGCTGTAAGGAGGCACTGTAGAATCAAGCTTCAAACGACCAACATCACATTCCACCGCCTGCCCCGTCGGCAGCGTGCCTTGCGGGAGCCTTCCTCGCACAGGAGATCTTCGGCGAGGTGGACGCCTACATCAGCGCCGTTGGTAGCCCCGCCGGCTATCGCCGGATACCTCCGTAGCATCCGCCCGGCGGCGCCGTCATGGGGGACAGCTGCGTAGTAGGTCGTCGCAGCGAGAGATGGATCCGTCGTCTGTCGTCGCGGTGGGGAACGTCTTGGCTCTGCTGTAGGTCGTAGCGGTAGGGGAGGCCCCGTCGTCGGCCGTCGCGGTGGTGGACGGCAGCAGCGCCATGGTCCTCGCAGTGGGGCGTGGGGAGGCGACAATGGATAAGGTGAGATCTAAGACTTCGTGTGTAGGACAGGGGGTTATATGAAAGATAGCCATAAGTGGCTGGTTAGCAAACCCACCTCTCATCTGTGCCATCAATTAAAGATTCAACGGCTCGGGTCGCAAGTTTCCAGATTTTCACTGAATCAGCGTTTTCACTTGATACTTCGCCTAGCTGCAATAGCAAGATAACCAAGCAACATATGTTTGTGATGCTAAATATAGTTACCAAAAAAGTGAAACTGATGCAGGCTGGCTATGAAGAACAGTAACACAGGCAACAACAGCCCAGAATTTCCCATAACCTATCAAATCATATTAGTAACTTCCCAGCTGCCAGGTAATCAAGAAATAAAAAGTCAGTGCAAGAACTCGGTTACCAAACCTATTCCGCATTCTACAAGGAATATGGGGTCAGCTTATAACATTGTCAATCTATGCAGGATACATTATCATCAACAAGCTTTAAAACTGTCAACGGACATTGTCTTGAAAAGTACATAATTCCAGTATACAATGCAGATGCAGGGTAGCACTTGACAGCAATATAGAAGTATACTAGTTAAGCCTATGGTGCTTGAAAGAGAGATCCATTACTAGTTACTACTACAAATATTAGAGCTGGTGACGGTGGTGGTGGGAATTCATTCACCCTCTTCAACCTCCCGGGTCATTGTTTATAAGGCGTCCCGCCTTGGACGCCAGCACCTTACAATTATGCACGCTTTAGGCGCTTACGAGTCACTTAGGCGTCAGGGCGGTTGGTGCTCGCCTTAGGTCGTCTTACCACCTTATAAACAATGCCGCAGATACATATCTTAACAACATAACTAATACTTTTTCGATGCGGGGAAGAAAAATCAAATACTTCAACACAAATCGTGACAGGAGTCAAGACAAAGCTCAATTCAGTGTGGCAGAGATGCTGAGGATGTAGGTGTAGGTCAAGCAGGGCCACAGCATCATGATGCCAGGTGAGGACATCGACCAAGTGCAGCAGCGGAGCCAAGGGCGTGTAGAAGGCAGAACCAGACGAGACAGCTCAATGTGTTGGGGTATAGCAAGGTACGGACATTAACTAATTGCGGTAAAAAAATACATTGTAATAAACTCTGATCCTACTGTCGAAACTACTTTCACTGAAAGAGATATATCGTGGGGCGAAACATTAAACTGAAATTATTTACCTTCGGATGGTTGCATAATTTCTTAAGAGCAGTAATATATGCCAAAACTTTAGAACTCTTTGCTTCTTCAGATATCAAGCGTTTAACCTGACAGGGTCAACCACAGACTACTGTAAATATAACTCCGAGTACCTTACATGTGCCTATTGAATATTGCTCAGAACGGTATAAAATTTCCTTACATTCTTGGAGTGTATGAAGTGGTTGTACAGTGTCATCTGTAAAGGAGTCAGCTTGCAGCACACTACTTCAACAATCTATACATAAGCAGGGTTAAGTAATGTAGATGAGGCACAATTATATAATGTAAAAAGGAGGAATCACTATAAAAGACAAAATGGATAGCAGGTACACAATTCTTTTTGTCTTTTCTGAATGTGCGATGAACATATCCAGCCAAATATACACTGGACAGAACATACCTTTGGTGGCAAGTGATTGGACAGCAGGGCATTCGTCCGTCTCAATATAAACTGAATATCATTGAGAAGCCATCAGAAGAATTCAGAAGGTAATTAACCTAGAGCCCGTTAAATTGTAGAAGAAAATGCATCCAAACAATTCTAGAGGAGATTAAAACATAAATGTGGACATTACAGTTGTTCAAAAATATGCAGTACAGGGTGCAGACAACCTTCTTCAGAGGAAAAGGACTTGCCTGATTTACTTTTGCACTAAGCTGTCCAGATCTCTCAGATCCCAACTTCTTTTCTTCTGCAGTTGCTGTGGGTTCTCTTCCACGAATTATTGGTGCCTTCAGTTAAGGGCAGGTAATGTTAGAGTTAACTACAGAGGAAAGGAAGATAGAATGCAATTAACAGGAATAGCACATGATTTTAGGTGCACAACACACAAAGAAACTTGAATAACAAATATCTGAGAACACCACTATCTGTTAATAAATAGTTGTAATTCATACTCCCTCCATCCTGAGTTACTTGTCGCGGAAATGGATAGATACATCCATTTCTGCGACAGGTAATTCGGGACGGATGGAGTATTTAGCAGTATAATTTGTGATTTTCATAAAACGTACATACTTCATAATATCGGCGAAAATATGCGGCATCCCCCAGAACTCCTGGATTTGTAAAATTTACCATTGAAAAGAACTCTTCCAGATCATTCTGCAGAGGAAAATGAATATATCAAAATTCAAAACAATGGTTCCAGCTACAATATGGAAAAGAATGGGAAAGCAAAAACTTACCTGCATTGGGGTACCTGATAACAGGATACGCCGTGTACAAGGAAGGGACGCCAGTGCCTGGTGCATCAAGTGTTTTCATGAGTTCAAGAAGAGCAAAATCGGAGATGAACTCAAGTGCAAACGACTCATGTATGTATGAAACGCAACTGAATTGGCAAACTGATATACCTTATTTGTTAGTGTCTGGTCATTTTTCAGCCTGTGAGCCTCATCACATATGAGAAGGTCACAGCTTCCTGGTATTTCAAATTTTGACGAATGCATGCGGAAGGTCTCGTAAGATACGATAAGTACCTGATAACAATTCCAAACATATAAATTCACCAGACATTGTCACGAACATGCAATTCTGATTGCAATTAGTAAGCATGGTAAATAGAAAATAGCAGAAAGGAAAAGAGTTTGGATAAAAGAAAACCTGAAGATGGCTCAAGGGCTTTAAGAAACTTCCTATTCCAGAAAGAACATCAGCACGCGTGCTTTCACAGAGGGCAAGCAGGTGCACTTTGCCTTTTAACCATTTACTTATCTCAGATTCCCAGTTGCTAACTAGGCTTGTGGGGGTTACAATGACAGCCCTTTTAACCATTGGCTTACCCTCAAAGCCTTGAGCAAGAAGGGTATATAGCAAAGTTATCGACTGTAAAGTCTTCCCCAATCTGGAAAGTGCAAGGAAGCGTCAGAAGTAGCTTTATGTAACAGTGAGTCAGTGACTAAATAAAAGGATTGAAAGACAGAAACATTACGTATTTATATCAAAGTATAAAAATGGACAAGAGGGAGGGCGTGAACTGTTCCAGCTTATTACCCCATGTCATCAGCTAAAATGCATCCAGCAATTCCATCGTCACTTAGCAACCCAGAGACACAATCAAACATAAACTGAACTCCTTCCCTGCATTACAACACAATCATGTGATTTACTATCTTCATCTCAAAGATTCAGAAGAAATCAGCATTGTTAGTTATTGTTTGCACCTGCTTAGACTAAAAATAAAGCTACAGTGCAATATGTAGTATCTATATGTGAATGTCTACAACTTACAGAGAGTACATGTTCTGCACAAAGTTAATGCTGATTGTAATTATTGTGGGGGGAACCATAAAATAGAGGGTTCACTGCAAGCCATCAAGCATGTAAAAAATGAATATAGGAAAAACATTAACAGGATAATATATTACCTTTGATGAGGACGAAGGTAACGTACAAGCAGATGATCAACTTCAATTGCAGTAAAATTGTTATTCTCTTTGTCACATTCCTCGGGTTGCCACAAAATTAATGGCTCTATGCCAGGTGGAAGAGGTTCCTCTTTCTCTGAGGAATCAACACTAGCAATGGTAGGCAGCTGCTGAAGATTGTTTGGAACTGCAAATGGCTGTGCTGAACCCCACGGGACAAATCTTTTACGAGCTGAAAGGCGCCGAGCAAGAAGCTCACTATTTTCACTATATCCATTTCCACACGGAGGTTTGAATGGTTTTCGAGCTATCGCTGCCGCATCAGAAACTGAAAGGATACGTGGAATAAGTGGCTGCCTTCTGACAACCAGGTTTCCCCTGACAGAAACCAGGAAAAAATGCATAAATATCTTCAAACAAAAGAGTGCATTTGTGATGTTATAGTCGATTAAACCAAAACAAATTTCAGTGTGTGCAAGGCAATCTAAGAGAAAATGACTTGTAACTGAGAAAAAGGCTTAAAGTGAACATTTGCAATACATCACATAGCGCAAGATTGTTCCAGCTGACCATACTTTCTCTGACCAATACAGTAAGATTTCCGGATTTTTTTCATGTAGAAGGCTAGTCCTATTGTACAAGGTACTCACTCTCATATCTCTATGCTTAAAATCATCACAGAGAGATGACTAGAGTATCCACACTACAGAGCTCTGTTGCACGTAGCTACCTACTGTTTACTTGGTATGCACAATGAGTTATTGACTAAGTCCATTCTGTCCAAATATGAACAGAGTTACAAGACGGAGTACAGAAGGTTAAATCTCTCTGTCCATATTTGCCAGCTTCATGTGATCTCCTCCAAGTCATTCAGACATATGCATACTCAACAGCCACCGTACTTACACTGAATGGCAATATTCAGCTTGAAGCCGTTACGAAAACTTGAGTGACAGGTATAGCTAGTTAGTGAGAGGTGTCAGATCAAAGCATCAACATTCAGGCTTAGATACTCCAGAACAAAGTTCTCAGGAGATAACCCTGCAGATTACATGGCAAACAACCAATCGAGTGGGATGAAAAAGAGAGATCCGTCTACCACATTGTAAGTTACATAGGATTTAAATTCTATCCTGTTTTTCCAGAACAGACCACGGTGTGGGGAGAGGAATTTGACTTGGGTCTCTTATGCTAAATTCTGGAGGAACCGGATCAAACACACCCAAGCTGAGGCACATTGTTCAAATGTACTAGTATCTAACAGGGCGTGGACTAGTGTATCACTGGGGACTCTTATGCTGAATTGGCATCTGAAACCACAAGCATGCCCCACAACAATTCAGGAGCATCCATCGACTAGTATCGTCGCCATAAAAAATTTAGATGAACACTAACGCCAACCCTAGCCCCTATGAATCCACAACCACAAGATGCGTCGATACACCACCAGCGCACAGCACGGACACGCACACATGGGCCGAGATGGTCGGGCCGGAGAGTACCTCACGAGCGCGTCCACGTTCTGCGACTTCCTCTCCTCGTCGGGCTCCGCAGCGCCACGCCGCCCGCCCCGGACCGGCCGCCCGCCGTCGCCGCCGCCGTCATCGCTGTCGCCCCCTTCCTCAGCCTCGTCCTCGACGCCGCCCGCGTCGCTGCTGTCCGCCACGTACTCGTCGTCGTCGTCGTCGGCCGCCTCCGCCCCGCGCTCCGCCTCGGACTCCGACTCGTCGGGGTCGGAGGAGAGGGTGACGACCTCCTCCTCCTCCTCCTCCTCGGAATCGCTGCCGCGGCGGTCGCGCTTGCTCCTCGACGGCATCGCGCCACCTCCGGCGAGTGGGACGGTTCGAAATGGGTGCCGAATCGTGTGGATTCTCCGCTCGGAGTTGGGAGTTTTGGGGGAATTTTAGGAATGGAGAAGCGGGGTTTGGAGGCGCTGCAAAAGTTTTGGGGCAGCGTGTCGGAGAATGTGCGGGAGAAGAGAGGGAGAGGGGTAGTTGGGCTGGATCGGAGGTTCTGTTTCTGAGGGGTTAAGCCCATGTTTAAGGCCCAAATAAGTTGGGGGTCCTCCTATTCCCAAAAACGTCTCTCATTGCAACAAAAGTATCTGTTAAGCCCGCGGCCAAGGTTTTTCTCGGGCAAGAGTACGATAGAAGATTCCGCTTCGGGATCACGGACGGGTGCGCCCGTATCTGATCTAGAGGCGATGATGGAAGAGTTAGGGCTGAAAGAAGATGAACTTGAAGATGTGGTCATGGAAGATGAGGAGCTGCCAGAGGCGGCGACCCGGTGGATGATCATTGCTAGGGTTCACACTGAGAAACCCTATAGTCAATTCTGGTTTTATAGAACCATGCGGGTGGCTTGGGACCTGGCGAAGGAAGTCAAGATCAAGCCGCTGGAGGAGAACTTGTACACGATGCAGTTCGGTTGCCTTGGAGATTGGGAACGCGTAATGGAAGAAGGACCGTGGGCTTACAAAGGGAAAGCGGTGGTGCTGGCGCCGTATGATGGCTTCACAAAGCCGTCGACGATCGAGCTGAACAGAATTGAGATGTGGATCCAGATCCACGACTTCCTAGAAGGCTACTTTTCCAAGATCAAGGCTTTGTCTGCGACGGTCGGAGAGTTTATTTATGCCGAGCCAAGTTCCCATGATTTTGAGGGGAATTTTGTCAGAGTGAGGGTCAAGATTGACGTCAACAAACCACTCAAAAATGTTGTATCCCTGGTGATCAAGAAGGACACGGTTCGGCGGCTCATATTCAGGGTGAAAATACGAAAGACTCCCGGTTTGGTGTGCTGTGTGTGGCCTATTGGGTCATCTTTTCAAGGAGTGTTGCGATGGAGTCCATCCTCCAAAGGCCCTGCTGTTTAGAGATTTGAAAGCATCATGGTTCAGAGGACCCGGTAGAGGTCCTGGAGAAGGAAGAGGACAAGGAGGGAACATCAGAAGAGGAAGAGGCAATGCGGGCAGAGGCAGGGGTCGTGGTTTTGAACAGAATACCCAGCAGAACCAAGATATGGACATGGATGAAGTTGATGGTAACAGAAAGAGGAGCGTTGTGGCGAATGATCTAGTGGCATCAGTCGTGAAACCAGCTTCAGTGGTAGACGGGGCGAATAAACCTCTGCTGCTACCTCCCCTAGAAGATCCATTGAGCCCATCGGCTAAGCAGGAGCCAAAACGGAAATAAGATATCATCCTCAGTAGCGGACAAGATTAATGGGAAGAACACAGTCACAAACAAAAACGATGCGTGTATGGCGGGCCTCCAAGGGGGTCGCGCCAAGCGCAATGAGTCTCCTATGTTGGAACTGTCGCGGTGCTGGCAACCCCGCGACAGTTCGCGAGCTCCGTGAGATGACGGAGCAGTTTGCCCCCTCTGTACTTTGTATTCTTGAAACTCAAATGGAGGGTACGAGAGTTGAGAATTTAGCTGGTTCATTAGGGTTCAATAAAAGTTTTGTTGTAAGCAGTTCGGGTCGTAGTGGTGGTTTGGGAGTGAGGGAGTCCTGGATTAGGGGGTGTCCGGATAGCCGGACTATACCTTCGGCCGGACTCCTGGACTATGAAGATACAAGATTGAAGACTTCGTCCCGTGTTCGGAAGGGACTTTCCTTGGCGTGGAAGGCAAGCTTGGCGATACGGATATATAGATCTCCTACCATTGTAACCGACTCTGTGTAACCCTAGCCCTCGCCGGTGTCTATATAAGCCGGAGGGTTTTAGTCCGTAGGACGAACAAAAATCATACCATAGGCTAGCTTCTAGGGTTTAACCTCCTTGATCTCGTGGTATATCTACTCTTGTACTACCCATATCA